ATGGCCTCAGCGGTGCTGGGGTGCAGGGTGGCTCGCTGCCGCGGGCTGGCGCGGCGCTCGCGCAGCAGCAGTGCCCGGCGCGGGTCGCGGACTCCGTCTCCCAGCTGGGCCCCCCGCCAGGCGACCCACAGCCTTTGGCAGCCCTGCAGGAGCTCCAGGCTGTTCTGTCCTACGACGGCTCGCTGTCGACCAGGGCGGAGGCGATGGGCGTCTCCCGGCTCTCGCTACCTCCTCCAGGTGACCACCCCGTGGCGCTGGAGCGGCTGCTGGGGGCCGAGGTCTTCGACTCCGTCTATCGCGTTATCTCGTGCAAGGTCTTGCCAAAGACAAAAGTTTTGCAGCAGAAGCAGAGCGCTGGCTTCGAGAAGCCCTACTCGGACCCCTGCCTTCGAGACCCGCGTCTCCACGGGGCCGGGGTGGTCGACCTCGTCGGCGACGCCGCCCTGGTGGTCGACGAGGTTGGCCTGTTCAGCGTGGCCAAGAAAAGTGGGAAGTAGCGGCTGGTCGTGGACGCCCACCCCGCCGACTTCTGGCTCGGCGACCCCGAGGGCGCCCGCCTGGCCACGGGCGCGGCGCTGGCGGCGATCGAGCTGCCGGACGGCGCCAACTTGTGGGCCGCTTCGGCGGACATCGCGGACGCCTTCTACAACGTGCAGTTGCCGGACGCTTGGAGGCCGTACTTCGCGCCCCCTCCACTCTTGGAGGCTTGGGCGGGGGGCCGCCCCCAGGCAGCCGCGCGCGCAGCGGCTCTGGCCGCGGCTCGCGGTGCTGCCCATGGGCTGGCCCCACGCGCTGGCCGTCTGCCAGCGGGTGTCGGAGGCGGCCGCCGACCGCGCAGGGCTGCCAGCGCTGTCCAGGATCGCGGACCGGAGGACTGGCCCTAGCCTGGGCGCCGGCGCGCACCTCGTGCAAGTCGACAACTTCGCCTCCCTCGCCCTCGACGGTGACACCGCCGACCGCCTGAAGGATGACATGGTCGCCGAGCTGCGCAGCGAGGGCCTTCCGGCGCATGGGGAGGAGGCCGCCTCGCTCCACGCAGGTGTTGGGCTGGGTCATCGATGGCGCGCGGGGAGCAGTCGCGCCTTCGCCTCGGAGAGCCTGGAGGATCATCCTGGCCACGCGCGCGCCCCTCGCCATGCCGAGGGCCTCGGCCCAGCAGGTGCGCCAGGTCGTGGGCCACTACACCTTCCTATTCATGGCGAGGCGCCCGCTGCTGGCAGTTTTCTCGGCCGTGTACCGCTTCATCGCAAAGGCCGGCGAGGCGCCTAGGCCTTGGTGGCCCAGCGTGCGCCGAGGGCTGACGTGGGCCATGGGGGTTGTCCCGCTGGCTCACGCCGACTTCCGGGCCCCCTGGCTGGGCCGAGTTCTGCGCGCGGATGCCTCCGAGTGGGGCCGAGGGGTATGCGAGCGTGAAATGAGCAACGACGTTGTGGAGAAGATGGGTAGGATCCAGGGGCGCTGGCGCTTCCGAGACCCCAGTGCGAGGGCGCCCCGGCAGCAGCTCATCGAGCCCCTCGAGCCCCTGGAGGCCCTCGCCTACTCCGAGCCGTCCTCGAAAGGTCACGTCTGCAGCGCCCCGTCGTACATCCAGGGGCCCGTCGCCCCCATGAACAAAGGCAGCCCCCACGCGGAGCCCCAGGGGGCCGACTTCGAGCCTCTGGAAGTGCATCGCATCTCAGGGGACTGGGTTGTCATCTCGAGCGGGGCCTGGGAGAGGAGCACATCACAGCCTTGGAGGGGAGGGCCCTAATCCACGCCTTGAAGCACGTCCTCCGGGACGCCGGGCAGCATGGCCATCGCGTCCTCTTCCTCTCAGACAGTCTCGTCGCCGTCCTGGCTCTGGCCAACGGCCGCTCATCGCGGCCGAGGATGGCGCGCATCTGCCGCCAGTGGGCCGCTCTCGCGGTGGCAGGAGGCGTCGCAGCGGCGCTGCGGTGGACCCCGTCGGAGGCGAACCCGGCGGACCTGCCCCCTCCCGCCGGGCGCTGAGGATCGGCGCGCGGCTGCGCTGGGATGCTGTCGCCAGTCTGGCCGCCGCTCGGGAGGGCGGACAGGCAGGTGCCGACGCCAGCGCCGCTCGTGGCGACGGCCCCGCGCCAGGCAGCAGCGGGGCGCCCCAGCCAGGCGACGGCCTCGCAGCGAGGCCAGCGCCCGGCGAGACGCAGCCACCTGTCACAGGCGGCGGAGGCGGCCGCCAAGCGTGCGGGGAGGGCCGCCGCGCGAGCGCCCGAGGCAGCCCCCCTTCGCTCCTCGGAAGGTCATGTCCTGAGGGCCCTCCCCAGAGGTCCCTCGCGTCCAAAATTTGGACGTGAGTTCTATCATGTTGCTCAAGTCCATTTTTTGGACTTAATCAGGGTTCATTGCGCTTTGCAGCGATATGAAGTGATATCATACATATGTATAAAAAATACACAATAAAATCACACGACGCCCATAGTTGTTCACATTTTCATGTCACACGCACACAATTTACTTCACACACACACAGACACACACGTTCGCACACACACACACACAAACACACACACAAACACACACACACACGCGTTGAACGCCTTTGCTGATTAAGGGTTACAGCAGATCTTGCATTTGCCATCACCGTTGGGTCGGTAGATCTTGAGTTGCGACTGTATTTTCTGGAACATTCCTCTGAGAAGCTGTGTTGGATTATTTCGAGGAGCATCGGCTCCACTTCTTATGCGTCCGAATGGTTCGTCGAATCGTGCTTAGCCTACCCATAGCCATTTGGAGCAGGTTCGGGCGCTTGATTTCCCAATCCAATTCCGCCGCGTTCAATTTTCAACCCCAGCCCCGAATGACACCCCTTAGCCCGCCTGTGGTGCGTTTCGGATGCCGAAATCTTCCAGGACACGATGTTTGCAGAATTGCTTGATGCATTCCTCTTGCGATTGGGCGGGTTGGGGGGGTCACCAGGGCAGGGATTGAGAGTTCTCGCGGTACGTACTTGTTCAGACTATGAGCAGCGATGAGGCTGATGATGATGTGGGCGGCGGGGATCCCAAGGCGCTGGCAGCAATTCTACTTCCATTTGCGCACAGTCCTGGCTTTATACAATACGGGGATGGAATGAAAAAAGCACCTGTGGACGTCGATTCTTTGAAGAAGTACACCAGTCTGATAGCTGCAGCGGCGAAGTACTCGTCCGACTTGCCGTCGGCGCGCATCTCACAGACATTGGCGCAAGAAGCTTTCATTGAAGTCTACAGGGTCAAGGTTTTCGACATAGATGAGGTTACCACGAAGGAGACTGCCGCGCCCACCTTAGCGAGAAGGCTTCGTACGATATTGTGTCACTACAAACGAGCAGCAGCAGCGACCAAACCCCCGAAGTGGGCCGACGAGATCTCCAAAGCAATGGGCATCACCAGAAAACGGCCAGCTGCATCAGAGGGGACTTCGACAAAAATGACACCGTCCAAAAAAAACCAGCGAAGAAGCACAACGGCAAGGAGGCAGCTGAGGATCATGGAGGCAAAGAGGAGGACCAAGCACAAGAAGACGAAGAAGAGGAGGAAGAGGAGGAAGGGAAGGAAGAGGAAGCAGGCGAAGAAAACAACGAGGAGGAAGGAGGAGGAAGAGGAGGAGGAAGAGGAGGAAGAGGAGGAGGAAGCTGAGGAGGCCGACCAGGAACAAGACGAGGAGGAACCAGATGCGGGGGATGACGGCGCTGGTGATCACGTGTCACGTGATTGGGCAATCAACAGATTAAGACATAACACCTCCCCTTCTCGTCCTTCTCATTGTCACCCCAGGCCCCGCTTATGTGATTGGTTTCCCAGTCGAGGCAAGCCAGCTGCGACTGCTACCTTGAAGAGGCCAACGGCGGTCGCATCGGCGGTCTCAACAGCTTCGAGGTTTTCGGATCTCGGCATGCCGTCTACATTTCGCAGTGATCTGTGGGCGCAGGCACTCGGTGGCGGCCAGTCGAGCCACAGTCCCACCGTCAAGACTGGCTACGACAAAGTCCGAGGTGCTTGGATCCAGGTTCTCGGACAATCGAAGCAGTTCACCAACGATATACATTCAGACGGGGACGGAAATCTTGTTGGAGTCTTTGGCGAGGCCGAGGTCGTCATCGACAACTTCGCGATGGCCAAAGTCGAGAGCCTCAAGAAGAAGAAGGATGCCGTCAAACAACGTCCAGCTGCTGCGGGCAACTCCAGGGGAAAACTATTCTGTGGCCAGTGGGGGTCCAATGAAGTGACGGTGAAAATCACAACAGAACGGATCAACGGCGTCAACAAGACTGGCAAGTTGGCGCGCATCTACGTGGACGGCAGCACGAAGGCATCTGTACCGCTTAGGACTGAGGAACTGGCCAAGCAGTGCACTGACTTAGCTATCGCGATGGCTCGTAAGCTGTGTGCTGGTAAGATTCAGGATACGGATGAGCTCAAGGCTGCAACTCAGGCGGCCTCTTTGAAACTGTTTTGAGTGTGTTGCATGTTGCAAGTGTGAACGCTATATGCGATATATGATCTCTTGCACGCATCACGCCTTTAGGAATGCATCGATGCCCGATTGCCCGTCAGCGCCCCCACTACTGGAACCGCCCCTAATCTGACATATCCACACACGTAAACATCAGTGTTTATCGGGGAGGGGGCTTCCATAGAAGTGGTGTTTTGTTTGAGCGATTCGCACTGCATGTAATTACTGCTTGCCGGCGTTTGGACGTTCCAGTTCGCATCGTGCGTGCGGCGGCTGTGACGAAGGTCGAAACGGAACTCATGTATCCTCTCGATCCCCTCCGCCCCTTCATCCACCCCAGTTGTTCTCATCAGCACCTTCTACTCCTCCTCCTCCTCCTCCTACTCAGCCCTCCTCTTCCACCTCCCCAGGCCCCCGCGAAGGTCACGACGGGTTCTGCGAGCGATGAGGTAGATAGTACACAAGTAGTTCAGCCCGCAGCTCGCTCAGAAGACCCGCTCAGGTAGGGCCCTATGAGGTAGGACACTATCAGGTAGGAACACTATTCAAACGATATATAGTAGCTGGTTCCCTCCGAAGTTTCCCCCAGGATAGGTGGAGTTGAACAGTTTGTTTTGCATGCTTGTTGCTCACGTGCTTCTGCTTCAGCCGCAGCCGTCTCAGGTTTTGCAGGCATCGGATTCGGTCGACCACCCATCCATTGCACCTGGCTTGAACCCGCATGGACACGTGGGTCCCCTTCAGAGGCCAGGCATTCCGACTGGGCCCTGATGGGCCGAAGTACGTGATCGAAGTGGACACGCACGACGAGCCAGCAACCCAGACCCAGATAGACACAGCCCCACAGTTTCAGCCTGGAGTTACCGCTGCGCCCCCTCGTGCAGACGACGCTCCGCCGCTTGCACAGAGTCAGGCTCCACCTCTTGGACAGGAGCTGTGGCCATGAAAGAGTATACAGACACTCTCGCCCTTTCCTAGTCGTCCTCCCCCCTGGCCCCTCTCTGCATCCTCCGCTCCGCTCCTCCGCTCCGCTCCTCCGCTCCGTTCTGCATCCTGCCATCATCGAACCTCCCCCTCCTCCTCATCCTCCTCCACCACCTCCTCATCATCCTCCCCTCGTCCGCTCCTTCACGCTCGAGATCCTTCCCTCTCATCCTCTTCCTCCTCCTCCTCCTCCTCCTCCTCCTCCTCCTCCTCCCCCTCCTCCTCCTCTGGGCCCTGGGGTAATGAGAGCGATAGTCGCCCCCCCCCCCCTCCCCAGGACGCTGCGCCTGCCCCCGCGATCGGCACGCAGGACGAGGCGACGCTACCTGATGCCTTGCCGCGCCCGACCTTCAGCGAGGCGACGCTACCTGATGCCTTGCCGCCTCCGACCTTCAGCGATGCGACGCTACCTGATGCCTTGCCGCCTCCGACCGCCAGCCAGCTGCAGAGTATGGTCGATGCCGCTGCTCTTGCTGTTCACGGCGCAGGCTCGCGGCCGCCGAGCGCGGTGGCGTCCGAGGAGCAGGCGACTCAGCCCGCTGGCCCCCCCATCGCCAACGGCGACAGCGGCGACACCCTCGACCAGCAGCATGAGACACCAGCCATGGACATGGAGCTTGAGGAGTCGCTCGGCTCGCTGGAGAGCCTGAGCACTGAGATCTGCAGGGAGGCGGCGGAGGCGACCAAGGCGACGCAGGCGATCTCGAAGCTCATCCAGGGGTTGGAGGCATCGATCAAGAACGGGGCCCCAGCACGGACGCCAGAGTATTCTCAGTTCTGCAGGGCCCTCGACGAAGATGGAGACCTGCAGAATCGATACTCCGCATGCCAAGGTCGGACCTCGAAAGCAGCTTTTAGGGGGGACTGGGCCAAGAAGAAAGTTCAGGTGCTCAACGAAAAAGTATCCCAGAAACAAGTGTCCTCGGAAATCGACTGGCAGCACACGCACATGCGGAGCTTGGCTCAGATTGCCGACAAGGAGAAGGACCAGCAGGTGGCGCTCAACATCGCCAAGACGTGCGTGAAGTTAGGGCCCCCCTTCATCAAGTGGGACCCCTCGGGCAAGGTGTGGAGGTTCGCCCACGCCGAGGAAGGCTTCACCGAGAAGCTGGAGAAGGCCTGGCAGGTCAAGCAGGACCTCGAGTCCGACGGCTCGCCGATGAAGCCCGCGGGCGGCGGCGGCGGGGGGGGCGGGCCGCCTCCGAAGAAGCCCCGCAAGGACAGGGGGAAGAGCAAGGACACGACCAGTGCACCTGAGCCGCCAATCGA